CCGAAGTACCATTCTCCAAAACAAAGAGTACTATAAACCAGTTGATTACTGCCTTTTATTCGGGGAGCCGCGTTATTGGAGTATAATTGACAAACACACGGAAATAGTTTCTTACATTGACGAAAACTATTGTCTTGTCTATACTTTCGGTAGTGGGAATATTGTTCTGCCGACATATGATAAAAGAACAAGCAGTGATTCTACTTTCCGTTTCTACATGAATATAGCTTCACTGGCTCAGAAAATGTTGATGGAGTCGTCAAAAAGAGGCTCGATTTGTGATAAGGGTATGAAAACAGTTAGTTATATCGTAGCAAAATCAAAGATCATTGCATTGACATAAATGATTTGCTGACTTCAACGCTTTGAAGTTGAGAAGTTAAATGAATGCTCTCTAAGCACAGCACAGAGGTTAACCTATTTTTCCACAGAATGAATGCCTCTCCAGATTGTCGAGGAATTTATGATGAACATGGGAATGAGGTCTGAGTTGTTGATTCCCCTGTTCATAATTGAATTAACCGGGAAGACCATTGCTGAAGCTAAGTGCCTGGGTTTTGGAACTACCGTATTCCTGTGCACACCGGCGTGAAACTTTCCCCATCCAAGTTGGTGGATGGCGGAACGAATTGATTAATGAGTGGTAATGATGTGGGCGAGGTCGCGATTTAGGTTCATCGCGTGTACATTCCACCGTGGATTTACCAGTACTCACTTAGCCTTTTCTGGATCCCTTAACTTCTTAAGGCAAGAATCATTCATCCATCCACTTACAAGCCCCTCGGTCCACCGGGTCTGGTGCCAAGTCGACGTCGACTCGAGCGCCAAGAACGCTCCAAATGGAGCCTCCTCTTTGGACCCAGATCCTCTCTCCTTCGTGCCTCAAGTAGCGAAACTGGCTCATCTATTATTAGCGATCCACAGTCAACTGACAAGGCTATCGACTCGATTCCCCTCTCGCAGTCAGACGAGCTCATCATCGACTCCAACCAGAGCTCCGTAGCTGAGACCTCAACGACTGAGGCGCGTGACCAGCAGCGTTCCGCCAACTGCTCACGAGTATCGAAAAAGACTACTACAGGGCGAACTCGTATGCTTAATTCGCAGTTTTTCAAAGCCTATCTTTACCTTTGATTCGTACCCATTACCACTTTAAATTAATTTAAAAAGCAGTATTTTTTACTGTTCTGTAGAACTATTAAGCCCAGTTCGAAAGACTATTTAGAGTGGAATTGAAGTTTGCACCCTTTCGTGTACAAATGGCCTTCGCTCTTAAGGCAGGGACCCGTGAATACACGGCTGTCTGTTTGCAGGTTTGGACACAACTTTACACAAGCCTCTGGCACCAATTTTTACCCAAAGTTACGGCCGCTTTTTGTCGCTACTTAAAGTATAGCTACACAGCCATTTTTTACCCATGGTTTTTACAGCCCCGCCTACGCTAACTGAGTGCTAAAATCCAAAAATAACAATTTTCGAAAATGCTTCAAATCTTGAGTAAACTCAAGCTCAAAGTTTTGAATGCGGGACTGAGTAATAAACAACTCTGTTTTCGTTTACTACTGATTCTTGATCATTTGTAACAAAATCATTGCGCATCTCGGTACTTTCTCCTAAGGTTCTAAATTCACAGGTGGAACTCTACCTCCAGTCTACATTCCCGTCGCCTCTATGGAAGCTGTTAACACCAGGCCAGTCGTTATTCTTGGAGATCTAAAGCACAACATATCCGAGGATCTCCTTTCAGAGTTCCCTGATAATTTCAGCACTTGTGTTCCACGTGAGCCGCATTGACTTCCTTTTAAACTCAAACTAAGGTTAATCTTAAGGGATTCACCTTGCCTCCGCTCATTCAGATACAACGCGTCATCGTCGCCATGGTGAAGTTGATGGTCAGGACTATCACTTTGTCAAATCGCGGTCCAGAATGGAATCAGAAATCCAGCTGAATCGCTACGTCGAAGCAGGCGAATACAACGGCAATCTCTACGGCACCCATCTACACTCTGTCTTCAAGGTGGCCTCCATGGGTTTACACTGCCTCCTTGACGTTGGTACAATGGCATTACAGCGGTTGACGGCAGCCGGTCTTCCTCCAATCGCAATTTTCGTTCTTCCTACTCCTCCAACTCAATTGAAGGGCATCGTCAATCCAAGTAGAGCCATCACAAAGGAGGAAGGAAGTTTCCACAGCCGATTCCAAAAGAGATGCGAAAAGAGCTTTGCATTTTTGAAGGAACATTCCTCCCTTCTAACAGGTTTGTCGTTGCACATGAGTGAGCATTTTCGGTCTTAGACACTTCCCTCCTTTCTGGCCCTCTTCGATTATTAACATCGTTACTGTTAATTTGCTTTACCAGTCTTGCTGCATTAATGAAACTTTAAAAACGAACTGTGCAATGAAGTACCTCTTAAATTATGGTTTATTATAAAACTATTATTGAAAGTGCGTGCTTTTACTGAAGACCAAAACACGGATTTATTTTACCTCTGCTTGAGTACACTTTTTTACTCAATGCAATGCGACTCTGAATGCCTAGTTGATACCTTCTTCAGCACATTTCGCCTTGTCTCATTAGCCATTTTAGCTGCCGACGACTACGATAAGATTACGAAGAGGATTTACAAGATAGTACACGACAACAAAGGACCCAACGTGTGGATTGCCTCCGGTGATTTTCTTCCATAATCCGATTTCTACCTTGTAAACACCTAACGTCATTGAATTTTGTTTTAGAATGTCTCGATTATTGCATTCAATCATCCCTTCTTGTACATACATCGGTATCTTACCGGTTTACCTATTGGAACGGGTAGCACAGGTACAGACCTTGGAGCCAATTCTGAGAGAGGAATGAGGCGCATTAGCGTAGTGAAGTTGTGTATTGTTAACGCAAAGAAGCAATGAGAGTTCGTAGCCATGGCAAAAACAGTGCTGTGTCGATTCCATGTCCATTTAAAACGGGTTACAATACAAATTCCGAAGCTGGTTATGAGCCATGTCACTTTTGGTTTAAAATAGCAGTCACATTTCTCTTTTCGATTATTGTTTAATTTTTTTTCTGGAGGGGAGGGGAATAAAGACTCTATGGGGATTATGTAGACTTGAGCAGTTGGGCGTTTAGCACGATTAAATGAGCCCCGTTGGTAAAGAATGGGAACTGCTTGCATTTTGTGAGCTGGTTCAAAAAACCAAATGCGGATGTTATGATAGAATCGTGTAGAATTCCTTCTCAGAATAATCAATGGTCAGACACATCGTTACTAATGCCCTTGCCTGTCGACCAGTGCGCAAATGATGGCAGATTCGTCTGTAGAGGAGGTGGAAGCATGAAGAAATCCATTCTCACATATTTGAAAAACTGGCTTTGCCTCAGCTCTGTAGTGAGTGCCAAGGGACGTAAGATACGTCGATGCGTGAATCCAGACAATCATGAAGAGATGGACGACGAACGCAACCCGTACGCCCCTTTTCTTCCAATTTTACCCCTAACCAAAGTCTAGCTCTTCACATCCACGCGGAGTGGATGATGGCATAGGTGTTGTTCCCGAAATCCTACCACAATTTTGTCTACATAGGCAAACTCTTAAAATAATTATGTATTGTCGAGACTTGCAAATAAATAAAAATAGGAGGTGTAAATCAGTAAGGCGTCCCGAAATAAGGGCTACTGAATTCTAGTGGTAGCATCAATTTGTCACTCAACCTTTTCAAACAATTCACTTTATTTCGGAAAATCCGGTAATGCTTACCATGAAGAATCATTTATGGCAACCGTTGGCCTTACAAACCATTATTATGTTACATCTGATTGTTGGGAGCTGGAGCTGTCAGCATTAAGACTTCATCAGAAGACTACACAATGCGTTAATAATTTCGCCAACAATCCATGGAAAGGGTGGTGGACTTTTAAAAGAACAGTAATAGACAAGGGTTCATTGTATTTTCACTCAGGTCAAAGCTGACGTCGATTTCTCCTGCATGCTGCAGTTTGTTTGTAGGTCCACAGACCAGTTGAATGCTGCGAATACTTTGCAATCGGTGAGCATACGAGCTTCTCGATGTTTATTTTGTTACAGCTCAACTGGACTTTCTGGAAAGTTTGCATGAGACGTGAAGTTCAATCGAGGCTCTGTGTTATTGTGGCCTTTGAGAGCACCCCTGTGAAATTTCGTCATTCACACAGGAGTAAATGCGTCTATCAGGGGTTTGAGTCTCCAAATTTTTACCTCCATCATTTGCGAAAATTTATTGTTTGACTGAATGTCTACATCCTGCATAGTTTCCTTTCCTTGAAGGGAGGACCCCCTTGCGTCTAAACGAACCCGTTGGAGTTTGGGCAAATTGACTAAATCCTAGTTTTTAATGCTTTCTGCAACTGTTTTGATTCAAAAACTGGTCAAGTCGCTGATTGTACAGATTTCTGAACTATGGTGGCATTAAAGAAGCTTTTCGATTAATGTTCGAATGTCGGATTTTGCTGCTTGCAAGGAACACAGTTGGAAACATAGTGAACATCACCAAAGCCTCTTGTTCTCCACCATTAGTTACACGATTTGCGTCAGAACTGGTATTTAAATGCACAACAATGCCTTTAGCGAGATCACTGCAAATGTCGCTAACTTTTTCACCGATTGCTTTCAATGAGTCATACAACAAGCTTGTTGAGTTGCATTGTAAAATTCAATTATTGTTATTATCATTATTATTGTTAAGTCGAACAGTTCGACCAAACTTTTTGT